AATAATAATAATAATAATAATAATAATTTTTAAGTTATGAAACCTTGTAAAGATTTTTTTTTTTTTTAATTAATGATTTATTGATTTTTTATTTAATTTTTTAAAATTATTTTACACGTATAGAACGGCTACAAACGAACAAACATCGTCGAGGTGATGATTACGAGGAAACAATCAACAGCGATAGGGTACAACAGAATGTCGAACATCAGCAACAACCGCAACAACAATCAAACAATCGTAATTTGGGCGAATATTCCGATAACGAACAAGAGGACGAAGAAGAAGTTGAAGTTGACGTTGAAGAGTGTTCCGATAGTGAAAACGTTGCCGTTGTTGTTAAAAAAAATAATCGCGTCAATAAAACTTCCGATAGATCATCTCCCGTTCGTAACGGTTCGGACACAAGTTCCGAACAGGGAGAAGAAAGAGGAAGAGATACTCCGGATTCTGGAGATGAAAAAGCTGGAGCCGGAGCTAAAGTTAAAATTAGGTGTAATTGTCAAGAATTATTGATGGTCGATTGTCATTTGGAAACCAAAGACCTATGGGACAAATTTCACGATTTGGGTACGGAAATGATAATAACCAAAACCGGAAGGTAAGTCACCATTTTATTTTTTTTTTCACTCTCGGGGGGAAGGAGGAAAGGGAATTTTTTTCCCTTCTTTTCTTTTTCTACCTGAAACGTTTCTACAAAAAATTTAATTTATTACACTCTTTTTTAAAAGTGTTATAATAAATAATAATAAAATTAACGGTGGAATCTTAATCGAAAAAAAGGAAGTTTTTAAATAATAATAATAATAATAATAATAATAATAATAATCCGTTACGTAATTTTTTTTTGAAAGGATTATCATCTTGAAATAAGTGAAATCCTCAAAAGGTAAATTTATTTAATTATCGCACGCGTTTACTTTATATCAATGGTGCCAACATAATTTTTTTTGAGAAAACCTTTTTCGCGAAGAACAAAAACCACGACGATTTATAATAAAAAAAAAAGTTAAAGGTTTCCTTAACTGTTTAAAAATCAATATATCGTCGGGCATTTTTCTTTTTTTTTTTTTTTGAACGTGTCAAATCACTTTTGAAAAATGACTAAGCTAATAAAATACCGATTCATTCTTATAAGCTTATTATCCTTGTCACAACTCGGACGATTCGTATTAACAACAACAAAAAAGTAAAAATATTTTGAATTTTGTATCGTCTGCTTGTGTTTTGCAGTACGCACACACACACAAACACACACACGAACCCCGTTTCTTTTTTATTTGATTCATAACCTTTTTTTTTTCCTTCCTTTCCAAACCCTCGGTTAACCACGGGTTTGTAAACAAACAAAGTTTTAAAACTTGTTTTTTTTTTTTTATTCTTTTGATTTTGTTTTTGTTTTGTTTTCGAAAAGGAAAGAAAAAATAAATAAATAAATAATAAAAATGAAAATAAATAAATAAATAAAAATTGAAAACAAAAGATTGAAATGAAATGAAAAAAAAAAAAAACGCATGTACCGTACCCATTTCGGGGAATATTTGTTATATTTGACGCCATCTTGTTAACAACCACCGTGACGTAATTTGTACTTTAAAATTTTTTATTACCACGTGGTACTTTTTTTTTTTTTTAAATTAAGGGTGGCGGTGGCGGTGGTCCGTTATTTTTTTACCTTTTACCAACGGGACGAAAAAAAAAAATTACTAATATTTTTTTAATGTTTTTTTTTTACGAAAACGAGTGAAAGTAATAAAAAAAAAATTTAAAGGGATCGACGTAAAAAGACAAAATTAAGTGAGAGGATAATGATGACGTCATTAAATAATAATACGTATCAATATTAACGTAATTATTTATTATTATTATTATTATTATCTTAGTCGTGTAATTTTCATTAAATTAAATGATTTCCTCCTTTTCCCTCCCTTCCTCCCATCTCCTCCCCCTACTTTTTTACCCGTCATTTCCTTCGTTTAAATTTATTTCCGGAAAAGTTAAAGGAAAAAGTTGTTTTCTAATTTTTTGTAAATCGATATTTTCCCTTTTTTTAAATCGAAATTTCGATTGCGCGCACACACACGCGCGAAATGGAGTTCAATGAAATAAAAAAAAGATTTAAAAACAGAAGTTTAATATAAAATTGAAAGATATAAATGTCGAAGAAGTTAAAAGGGTGGCAGTAGCAACAGCAACAGCAACAGCACTAAGGACGATCGGAGACTTATTTGATAGTGAAAAAGGCATCGAACCGTGATATTGGCTGGCTTTAATTTTTATTGCCACGATGGTGTCGATCGTTTCTATCTTTTTCCTTTTGATTTTTTTTTTGTTTTCTGTTGGTAACACTTAGAAAGAAATGCCGTCACGGTTCGGGGATTCGAACGGGAAAAAAAAATTATTTCGTGTCAGCAATTTCCGTCTTATTCGTCGATTATTTTTAAAATCATTCGCGCGTCGTTATTTAAAAAAAAATTATTATTAATATTATTATTAAATTATACTTTTTAATTTTTCTTTTTTTTTCCCTTTATTATTATTATTATTATTATCTGACAGCATTTCTAATTCATTTACGAAACTATTCAACCAATAATATAATATTGAAATCTGTCGGGAAAAAAAAAATTTTTTTTTTTTTTGTAACAAAAAATCATTCAACCGACATTTTATATATTTTATTCCCTATTTAAAGTGTCGCAAAACCGTTTTTTTTTTTTTTTTTTTTTTTTTACTTAACGAATGTTTATTGAATAAACATTCAATGGAATTTATTATTATTATTATCATTATTATTCGTGTCATTTACCTTTGAAACCTTTTTGATTGAAACCTTTGACAGTTTTCTATTTTTTTTTTTAAATAAAACATTGAAATGATTGGCATTATTTAAAATGGCGGATAAATTTTAAATTCACTTTTTCTTTTTGTCGTTTTCGTGTTTTCAAAACTCTTCTTCGTTTTATTTATGTATAAATTATGTACATAAGTTTATTTCTTATTTAAAAATAAATAAATAAATAAATAATCGATTTCCATTCGTTCTTCGACGTTAAAAAAAAAAAAGCGGTCGTGTAAGAAGAATAATAAAATAAAAAAAAAAACGTTACGTCGTGATTATCGATAAAGAGACATAATTCTCGCACCTAAAAAAATTTTTTTATTTTTATTTTTAAATTTTATTATTATTATTATCTTTTCCGTCAATCCAATAAGTATTTTTATAACTTCATAGGCTACCTACCTACCTACCTACCTAGGATTGACTAGATTTTAGGCAGGTGCCTTAACTTGTTAAAAACTATTCATATCAGATACATTGTCTTTTTTCTTTTCCATCATTAATTCCGAGTACTTTTTTGTTAACTGAATTAAAATATATAAATTAACCGCCGCCGACCCTCCACCCGGCCACCACCACCACCGCCACCGCTACCGCCGTCACTCTTTCACCTAACGTGTTATTTTATATCATCATTATAATTTGTATATATATATATATATATATATATATATATGTAGGTACTAATTCGTTATTACACGTTTGCTTTAACTCGGGGTTGTTTTTTTTTTTTAAATAAAAATTAGACGTATGCTAACAATGGTGGTGGCGGTGGTAGTGGTAGTAAGGGCGACAGTAGTGGCAGTAGAAGCAAGGTTTTTAATCAAACACGATTCGAATAAATAATTTTTTTTATTTATTTTTTAAATTTAAAAATCATTTATTACTAAATTAATTTTTTCTTTTTTTTTTTTTATTAATTTAATAATTTTTTAAAATATGAATAATTATTTATGTAAAAAAAAAGTGTCTTTAGGCTAAATTTACGCGCGTAAAAGTTGCAAATTTTTTAATTCATTTGTATCGCTTTTCTCTCTCTCTCTTTTAGCCTTTTAATATTTTTTTTTGTTGAAAAATTTTTTTTTTCTTTTACGCAACCCACGTGTCAATTTTACGGGCGTACAAACAACAACAAACGACAAAATTTACAAATATTACATTTAAATACAAACGCGTAACAACAGCAAACAAACAAACGAAATTTTTATCGAAAATTATTAATTAATAACAAATAAATTTATTTTTAAAAAAAATTTGTTAACGTTACAACAACAAACGAAAACAATATAACATAACAAACAAAATAAAATAAATAGAAAATTATTAACGTACAACAACAAACAACAGCACTACCATTACTTAAAAAACAAAAAAACCGTTTAATATCCCTTTCGTGTTGTTGTTGTTTTTTTTAAAATTTAGTTTTACATTAAAAAAAAAAAAACAAATGTACGTAACGCCTTTTCGTGTTATTAACAAAACCTTATATTAACAAAATAACACAACAACATAAACATAAAGAAAACATAAAAAAAAAGGTTTAATTTTCTTAAACAAAATCATCATCTCGTGACATTAACATTTGCACCTGCCTCATCCTGCCATTCCAACAATCGAATATTTTTTTTTTTTTTTTTTTTTTACTCATAATTTTTATTTGACGATACAATTTACCGGTAGTTGTTAAAATAATAATAATATCATCATATATATGTGGTGTTGTATATAATTTATATTATTACGTCAGTAATTATATTGAAATTATTATTATTTTTTTTAGCAATATTATTAACGTAATAAAACAAATAAAAGGGTATGTTATTCTTCTTCCTCTTTCTCTCTCTCTATCGATTGTTATATTGTGAGTGTTGGTGGTGGTTGTTGTTTGTTCGTTCAGGTGCGTTTTCATTATAATTTTTATATATATATATATACACTCGTAAAATAAAATCATTCAAGGTTTTAATTTTTTTTTTATTTCCGGATTATGCGTTACGCATATACGCATACAAGATTATTATATTCAAGGTTGTTATAATAAGGGAAACGAACGGAATTTTTTTATTGGAAAAAAAAATATATACGTCATCGATTATGTTTTGCCCTACCTTGATATAACTATAAAATACGCGCGCTAATTCGAAAAAAAAACGTGGAAGTAGAAACAAAAAAAAACGCCCGCGAAAATCGATTTGAATCATCGCAGGAAATAAATAAATAAACGAAAAAAATTTTAACTTTTTTTTTTATTCCGAATTATCATTATTATTTCGCCAAAAAAAAAAAAATTAATTAAATTATCGAACGTATTAAATTTTATTATTAATAATATTTATTAAATAAAAATAAGTCATTATTATTATTATTAATATAAATATAAATAATCCGGCATTATCGAAAATCATTTTATTTTTTTTTTTATTTTGCATTCAAGGTAATCGACTTTTGTAAATTTATTCACGCTAAAAATTAATTTTGAATCTTTTTTTTTTTTTATTAACTTTTACCGTGAAAAATATAAATAATAATAATGATAATGATAATAATAATAATAATAATATTATTATTGAATAATGATAATATTTCGTAAGTTTCGCAATTCGTGACGATCGAAAAAGAAAAGAAAAAAATAAATAAATAAATGCAACGTCGATTTATTACAGGTAATGATATGGAAATAAAAAGATAGAGAGAGATAGATAGAAATAGAGAGAGATAGAGAGAGATCGAATTATTTCGGCGAATCGATACCGCCGCGATACG